ACCTAGTGGATCCTGCACCAGGGCTGCAGGTGGAGCTGCCCGCCAGTCCTGAGCCACGCCTGCACTCCTCAGACCTTGGGCTGTTGATGGGACTGGGTACCATGGAGCAGGGGGCGGTGCCCATCGTGAGGGCTGCTAGCACATTGTCATCTCTCACTTTCATGCACACATTTTTAGATTTTGATGTAGTCCAATTTATCTAGTTCTTCTTTTGTTGCCTATGCTTTTGATGTAATATCCAAGAAATTCTTTTTAAATCCAATGTCATGAAACTTTTTCTGTATGTTTTCTTCTAAGAGTTTTATAATTTTAGCTCTTACATTTAGCTCTGTGATACCTTTGAGTTAATTTCTATATATGATATAAGGTAAGGGTCCAACTTCATTCTTACGATGTGGAGATCCAGCTTTCCCAACACCATTTGTTGGGCAAGAAAACCGTTCAGTTTGGAAATAATCTATAATTGTGAATTAAAAATTTGTTCTTGGCCAGGCACAGTGGCTCACGCCTGTAATCCCAGCACTTTGGGAGGCTGAGGCAGGCAGTTCACAAGGTCAGGAGGTCGAGACCATCCTGGCTAACATGGTGAAACCCCGTCTCTACTAAAAAAAGTACAAAAAGTACCAGCCGGGCATGGTGGTGGGAACCTGTAGTCCCAGCTACTCAGGAGGCTGAGGCAGGAGAATGGCATGAACCTGGGAGGTGGAGGTTGCAGTGAGCGGAGATCACACCACTGCACTCCAGCCTGGGCAACAGAGCAAGACTCCTTCTCAAAAAAAAAAAAAATTTTGTTCTCTTCTCAGTTCCTTCAGTGTTTGCTTTATGTGTTTTGAAGCTCTGTGAATAAGTGCATATACATTTAGGACTGTTGTGTTTTCTTAATGAATTAATCCTTTTATCATTGTGAATTGCCTTTTAAAATCCATGGTTATATTGTTTATCCTGAAGTCTACTTGGTCTGACATCGACATAGCCATCTCTGTTTTCCTAATATTAGTGTTTGTATGGTTATCTTTTTCCATTCCTTTATTTTCATCTATTTGTTGTCTATATTTTGGGTATCTTTTTAGACAACTCTGAATTGGGTCTTGGTTTCTAATCCAGTCTCACAATATTTGGCTTTTAATTTAAGTGCTTTTATTTAATGTAGCTACTAATAGGGATGGATTTAAGTCTACCACTTTACTATTTTATTTCTACTTGGTTATCTGTTATTATTTTTTCCCCTCTTTCCCTGCTTTCTTTTGGATTGAGTATTTTTAGGTTCCATTTTCTCTCTGTTGTCTTATCACCTATATCTGCCTGTTTTATTTTTTAGTGGAGTACAGTATAGGGTTTACAATAAGCATCTTTAACTTACAGCAGTCTACTTCCAAATTATAGTATATCTCTTACTATATAACCAAGAATCTTACAGTAGTATATTTTCATTCCTCCCCTTAGGTCTTTTATGCAATTGTTGACATACTTTTTACTTCACATAGATAATAAATCCACAATATATTATTGTTTTGGCTTTAAACATTCAACTCATTTTAAAAGAAATTTGTAAATAAGGGGGAAACATATTTTACATTTCTCACATATTTACCACTTCCAGTGTGCCTTCCTTTATGTAAATCCAAGTTTCCACTTGGTATTATTTTCCTTCAGTGCAAAGAGCTTCTTTTAACATTTCTTTTTCTTTTTTTAAGAAAATTATGTTTATTCCAGGGTAAGGCATTGCAATGAAATATGTATGCCATGATAAACTATATGCATATTCAGGGAGGTAAAGAAAGACAAAAGTTTTTTTTGTTTGTTTGTTTGAGACAGAGTCTCGCTCTGTTGCCCAGGCTGGAGTGCAGTGGGGCCATCTCCACTCACTGCAAGCTCTGCCTCCCCGGTTCACGCCATTCTCCTGCCTCAGCCTCCGGAGTAGTTGGGACTACAGGCGCCCGCCACCTCGCCCGGGTAAGTTTTTATATTTTTAGTAGAGACGGGTTTTCACCGTGTTAGCCAGGATGGTCTCAATCTCCTGACCTTGTGATCCACCCGCCTCGGCCTCCCAAAGTGCTGGGATTACAGGCCTGAGCCACCAAGCCTGGCCGAAAGACAAAAGTGTTTAAAGAAAAAATGAGGAGAATTGCATAACTGCTTGAAGATACTTATCCTTGGCTATAAAGATCAAGAACAAGAGTGATACTCATCTGATGCTAGACAGGCAGTTGTTGGGCAGATGTTCTTGCAGTATTTTTTCATGTATAAGGTTGTGATGGCCTTTGTGCAATCCTTTAACATTTCTTATCGTGGAGATCTCCTGGATGAAAAGTGTTATTTTGTTTATGGGTTTTTTTTTTTAAGATTATTTTTGCTGGATATAGAATTCTGTGTTGGAAAAAAAACATTTTTTTTTTTAAACATTTAGCTCTAGAACAATGCATATTTATTGTCTTCTGGCTTGCATTGTTCTTGACAAGAAGTCTGTGAATATTCTTGTCTTTGTTCCCTGTATGTAACATGTCTTTATTATCTGCTTTTAAGAATTTCTTTTTTATTGCTGGCTTTCAGCAATTCACTATGACGTGTTTTGTTTAGACTTTTTTCTGCTTGGGGTTCATTGAGCCTCAGAGCTATATGTTTATAGTTTTCATTAAATTTGGGGAAATTTTGGCCATTATTACTTCAAATAAATTTTTTGTTCTCCCTTTTCTGGGACTCCTACTTTTTATACCTTAGACCATTTAATATTTTCCCAAGCGTCATTAATGCTCTTTCTTTTTTTCTTTTTTTTTTTTTTTT